TCCTGATAGAGGTATGTAAAAATATTTTTTTTAATACTTTTTTTTTTTTTTTTTTTGACTGCAGGATATTTCTGGGTTGCAAGATCACGAGTTCCAAATCCGGCATCCAGATTCTCCAGCTCTATTATACCAGTTCCGATTAGGGGATGAAAAATTACAGGTTATGTTCATTAAATGAACAAGTGGTACATTGTAGTATGCTTGGTGATGGCATTAAAATGAACTGCATTGTACGAGAATGTATCTAATGAGGCAGTAGGAGATGCACAACACTTCTAATAACCTTTGATTGTCACTTCAATTGAATGTTTCTATGCTTATCCCTCAACTGCAAGGAATTGTGCAAGTTTTTCATTTTGTAACAACATTTAAGTTCCTTGTACACGACACATTGCTAGAATCTGTGAAGTCTATGTACAAGCATATAAGTTTTAAAAAAATATGTAAAATTTTTACAAATCTGTTGGAAAAAAGACATTTTGAATTGCAAAAAAAACTAAGATAGAACAAGGTTTTTCTTCTCTATGATAAATTCCAATTAGTAAAAATACACATAATAAAACGCCAGATCTCTCAATTTTTTCAGGCTCCAATGGCTCTGTTTTATCCAGCAACTTTTGGAATTGTTGGACAAAAGATGACAATTTTGCAACACCGGTCACAAGGGGACCCTGAGGATCCTCATGATGAGCATTATCTCCTAGCCACACAAAGTAAGCAGGAGCAGGTGTGTGAATGCTTGTTTGTTTTTCTTTCCCCCACAAAGTATTATTTCATTCAGGAATATAATAAGGACTCATTACCTCATCTCAGAGACTGAAATTCATTATCTGGGTCAACAGCATAAAAGAACTCTAAGGAATTATAGGTATCTAGAAAAGATCTTAATCTAAACTGTGTATTTTCAGTCTGAAGGATCTGCATGTTAATGGCATTGATACATCTGATGTATTGGTACATCTGAAAGTAAAACCCTCTCTTTGAAAGTGAGAATCAAAATAAAACTGATACGAAGTAGTAATGTAACCTTTAGCCTTTCTGTGCAGAAAGGTAAAGAGGTGATGTTTAGCCATTGTATTGTTCTGTAATCTGCTGTTTCTATTTTTCATAAATTGACTGTTAAACTATTTCCTTATTTTTAAGTCTTCAAAAGCTACAGCTGATAGAAAATCCATGTCAAAGCCTGGTACCTTTGAGGGAGAAATGAAAGGCCAAGTTACAGATATTTCAGAGAGGATGTACCCCCAAGAAGTTGAACTGGGATCCTCCCAAAGTGACTGTATGATACCTGGAAATGATTCAGAGGAACCTTTAACTGCACACACGTCCAGAAAAACAGTTGTTTCTCAATTTGAAGGCAAAGCTTTAGGCCTTGACAAAGCCATTCTTCATAGTATTGATTGCTGTGGTAAGGATTACGTTATTATGATTCTGAGAAATATGCTTGTCAGTGTGGATTTATGTTAACTACTATATTCTAGGAAAGTAACACGTATATCCCTTAATTTTACCAGCTCTAGAGGTACCTGCACTATTCCTTATTACAACTTATTTTTAGATTTCTTGAGCTTGTTTTTGAAGCTCCAAGAAGCAGGAAGGTTTTAAAAGTAAGCAGTTCTCAGTTTCTATTTGATTTGACTTGCACTAAGTTCTTTATAATAGAATCACTAACTACTAAAAATATATATTTCTATATGCATCCATTCATTCCAGCCTCTGATGATACAAAAAAGAAGATGTACAGCTCCATCTTAGTGGTGGGAGGAGGCCTTATGTTTCATAAAGCTCAAGAGTTCCTTCAACACCGAATTCTCAACAAAATGCCCCCTTCTTTTAGAAGAGTAGTTGAGAATGTTGAAGTCATCACAAGACCTAAGGTATACCATTAACTGATAGCTAAATGGTTTAATCAACTGCAGTCAAGTTCTTCAGAAGATTATATAAAACATATTCTCTCAAAACCAGAGATTAGTTGTATTTCTGAGGAGATTTAGGTAATTAGAGGTAAAGCAAGACCATTACTGATATTGATCATGAATGTAAAGGCCATGTTTCCAAAGTGGCTGTGCCTCAAAAACCCTAGATGGTCTTTCCATGTTTTTACCTTTTTATCATGAAAAAGTTTCTCTTACATAATTTTCAAAGTTTTTTCTCTTCCTCTCACCCCCAAGATTCCAAGATGAATAACGTTGGAATAAACAGAATGCAAGGTTTGAGAATCAGACTCATACTGTGTATAATCCTGTTTTTGGATTTAGGATATGGATCCCCGCTTAATTGCATGGAAAGGAGGTGCTGTGTTGGCCTGTCTTGACACAACTCAGGAGCTGTGGATATATCAGCGAGAATGGCAGCGTTTTGGTGTCAGAATGTTACGAGAGCGAGCTGCATTTGTGTGGTAAATGATGTGTTTACACAGTTAATTAAAAATTCAGTTCCCTCAAATGCCACTGTTTGTGTTTGGGGTTTTTTTTGGTTTGTTTTTCCAAGGCACTGGAAAAAAAAATCTACTGATCTTCTGCTGATATTCAATTTAATAAAATTAAATTGAACTGAGATTTTTCCAGTAGCAGTGCAAAAATTTTATAGAGTCCATATTACTTCAGTATTGCTATACTCAATTCTATTTTGAGTTGTATGCATTGAATTGTATACCTCCATCTCCAGATTCTCTATATCACATAGGAAATACATATGTATATACCCACATTAAAGTTACATGGTGTGGGAATATGAGGTATCAAATGCTGAAATGGTAGATATTAAGCCAAGACTGGGAAGACTGCAGCCTGTGGGATTAATGTCTTATTACAATTCCTGTGCTACTGTTACCAGAAGATGGAATTGTTGTACAAGCCATTGTGGAAACCACAGGAGGGAGAACCTAAACTTCATTTGCTGTTGTAGTTGCTATAGTAAATTGTGTTATTCAGTGGAAAAACATCATTTTCAACTTAAGTATTTTTTTCTTGCTTGTTCTTATCATTAAAAAATTATTAGCTTTTCATTATCCTTGGTATTTACCTTGTCCCTATTCAAAAGTAATAATATAAAATGTGTGTCCTCAATTCCGCCCCCTCACCTTCCTTCCCTCAGCCCCATCTTTCAACCTGGCCTTGCACAGAAGGACAAATAAGCCCGATAGCAGACAGCTGGTTCATCAGCTGAAAAACAATTGTTCACGCACCTAAAAAGCAATTTATGACTATGAGTCAATCTTACTCCGTAAATGGTGAGCAGCCCAAGAGCCCCTTTGAGCTCTCCTGCACAGCAGCTGGCTGCATGACAGGATCTCTCCCTTGAGCAGGGGCACCTCTTGAGGTTACAGCTGCACAGAGATATGTCCCTTACACTCTGATGTCAAGCTCCCTTGCCAATACAGATCCTCAGTAAGTGACTAATTGTTTTAGGTTTTGTTAGCTTCACTAAGATTCAATCGTAAATTGACTGTGCATGTAATCCCTTACGTATAAACCACTGACAAAACCTGGGACTAGGAGTGCCACATCTAGGCTCCTTACCTCCATGGTTCAAGGAGATTAGAAAGCAAGAGTTCACTCTGAACCTCATGGCTCAATAGGAAGGCCTCCTGTATGTTTATGTTTAACTCTACCCTCTGCATAGTAAATAATGGAGTGTATCCAGCCACCTTGAATCTTAAGTCACTGTTAAAGCACTACGTTATATTACATTATACCATGTCAATAAATATATTCTAGCTTCTCTTTTATGAGGGCAGTATAGTGTTTTTGTCCCACCCACGACAACCTAGAACTAGATTTCTTCTACATAGCACCAACAGCCATAGAGACTTTTTCTCCTTGTAAGTAATCCTTTGTTACAGAAGTTCTATTTCTTGTTTTATCTTCTGTAACAAAGGCTCCCATCACCCTCAAACTAAGCTTCAAATATGTATTTGCAGCTATAAAGTATATTAATACTATTAAAATGCTTAATATAACATAAAACATCAATTAATATAGTAGTTACAGGAATACTGAAGTTCAAAAGAAGTGAGAATTCTTCCCTCTGTAACAATGTCAGCAACCACAGTAATAATGCATACAACCACAAGTAGAGCAGAAAGGAGAAAACAAAAATATTCCAACTGAATTGACTGAGGATTTCTGGGGAAAAAGAAAAAACAACCGCTTTGAACCAAGTCTTGCATAGGTGAAAAAGCTGTCTCCAGTTAATTAAGAAGAGAGCATTTCTATATGTCTGCATCCGGAAGAGAAATTTCTCTAAAAGGTAATGCAAAAGAATTAATCTCTGATTAATCTCATGCTGACCAAATAAATTTTGTTTAAAAACTACACCAAAAACAAAGAATATCATCTATACAAGTGAAATAACGTAACTGTGGAGTATAGCACTGCTGAGAACAACCAGAGTTCTTACACTGTCTCCAGAGTTTGGTGGTCATATCTGTTGATTTTATATCAGTATTGTTTCCATGTTTTTTTTCAAGTACCTCATACATTTGACACTCATAAAGCAGCATTAAATATTCAAGCCCAAGAGTAATTATTGTAGAATTCACTTCTGTCTCTTTTTTTTTTATAGACAGATACATTTGGATTCCACAAACTTCCTGAGCGGTGCCTTAATGTGTTTAATAACAAACTGATTAAATGGATTTCTGGTCTGGCTGTGGCAGGCACCGTACACCCTGCAGATGGCAGCTTATGACCTAGCAGTGTTTGTGCTTTGGAAAGGAGCAAGTCAGAAGCATTGGTTAGAAAGAGACACTGGTATTGTATGAGGTCAGGTACTGATGCCTGCAAAGTTAGGGGACAAAAATACCAGAAAGTTCCAATAGGTTTAGAAACAGTAGTACTTAATGTTAATGGCACATCTGCGTGCCCAAACGTACGAGGATTTAGTCTATTAAAAGTACTTTTTGCCAGTAGCTAAACTAAATTCACTACCTCGCAGAAACCAAGGAAACTTCAACAACACAAATTCACGGATTAAAAGATGACTGCAGGATTCCCACCTTAAGGCCACGGAACATAAGGAAAGGCTGATAAGCGGCGATTCTGCTGGCTGTGCGGGCACAGGCGGCTCGGTGACACTTTGAAGTGCGATTCCGCTGCCCTCCAAACGCCTGCCGTACGCCTCGCTCCTACCCGTGTCACTACAACCTCCGAGGGCGCGGGAGGCGGACTTCGCCCCGCAGCCGCTCGAAGTGTTTCGAAACAGCACAGAGTTCCCCCGACGGACTTCTTCCACGAAGAGCCGCAAGTTCCCGCGGACAGCCGCAGACCGCCTCCCACACAGGCCGCTCCCCCTGCCGCTGGGTCGGGGCCGTGTGACGGGATCCGGCTCCGAGTTTCACGGCGCCCGGCCCGCCTCCGCCTCAGGAACAGCGTGAGTGGGGCCGAGAGGCACCGAGCCTCGGGAAGACACGACACAAGGGCCGGGAAAGGGAAACAGAGGGAGCGGGGCGGCGGCGGGGGTGGGAATGAGGCCCCGGTGGCGGACCCCCACACAGGCGGCTCTGTGGTAAACACGGCCCCGAGGTGCCACGTCCCGCCGCCAGCCTTCACTGCGAGGCTGGGAAGGAGCTGTGCGGGGTTGCGCGTGCCCTCAGGACGTGGCCGTGCCGACCCCGGGTACGAGGAGAAGTTCGTGCGTGCAGCAAGGCGAGCTGCAGCGGCCCGAGCGCTCCCAGCTGCGGGAACTTCGCGCAGCGCTTTACCTCGGGGGTTCGTTGCTTCTGCACCTTCACACGCAGGGTGATGGCCAGGAAAGGCCTCGCTGCTCCCAGGCTCCGGGCGCGTGCTGCTGGGCATCTCCAGCCGAGGGATATTTGCCTCCACCGGAGGAAATGCGGTCATTTCGGCCCTGGTAAAACAGAAGCGGGAATGGAATATCAGCCAGTGGGAGTTTCTTTGTGCCTTCAATGTGTCTGCAGGAGCTGGCATTCAGGCAGGAGACCCACGTGCAGATGAGTGCGTGGGTCACATAAGAGCTGTGCATTAATGCTAATGTACATATCCATCTAAGTATGTTGGATTTACATTGAAACAAAACGGCTTGAGATTTGACCTCTGCACCTTCAAGCTTTAAAGCACAGAAAATAGTGTATCACCTACACACTGATTCTCAGAGTCACTTAAATACTGTTGACCAACCTCTTCTTACACACTCTTGTCAAGAGTCTCATTATCTCCCATGGTACTCAGCTACACCCATTCCACTTTAATAAGTTCATTAACAAAAAAGAAATGACTTAAAGGAAAGCATGAATTAACATGTAAGTATAGATGTGATGAATTTATGTGATGGAGTAGATTCAAACCACCGCTTTAGTACCATCAAAAGAACATTCATTCTTGCTTTCTTGGCTGGTAATTCAGCCTCCTAGCTGATACAGTGGCTATCATAACTGTTTGGTACTTATCTTTGTTCAGCTTTATTTCCAGTTTTATCAGAGAATGGGAAATCTCTGATTCATTAATAGTAACAATGCCCAGAGATATGCAGTTTTTCTAGATAAGCCACCCCATCCACCTACAGCCACTTTGTTACAGTCCATTTTCCAATATACCCTGCTCTGCATGCAAGGTACATAGTCTCTTCCCTTTGTTGTGGGCTGAGAGTCCTGTAAATCTAAAATTCTAGGAGTTAGGTCCCAGACACACTTCAACTAGTTTTGCCAACTTTCTTGCCAACAAGTTGATTTAATCATTAAACAACCTATGCAGTTTCTTTTCCTTTTTTCCTCTCTCCTTTTTCAAAAGCTGCAGGAAAAAATAAATTAAAAGAGAGATAGTCACTTCTTGATCATCCTTTAGAAAAACCTCTTCTTACACATAACCCCAAATACTGAACTGATAAATGTGTTCAATGAGGAGCCCCAATCACTTAAGAGCTCTTCCCACTTTTAGCTACCTAATGTATGATCAAATATACTGTGCTCACATTGTAGCAATAAAGTTTTCCTGCTGAGGTTCTCCTGCTCTTTATTCCCATAGGAATGCTGTCCATAAGCTCTTTCAACAATATTTACCTGTAAAATAGATACAATTTTTTCAAGCGAGTTCAAATTTTCAAGCTCTGGTGCAATAAATGAATATATTTTATGTTGCTTTATGCATTTCTGCAGGGCTCTTTGCCAACTGATAAGGAACCTCTTATTATGAGCACAGAAGGGTCATGATATGAAAGAACACAGACAAAGTCTTCCAATAATATCCAGTAAGGCCTAAAAGACACTTTTGTTGGTGGTAACTACAGAGCATTTCATTAAAATTGAACTGTTTAAATCTTCCTATTTATATGTTTGTTGATGTTATTCTGTTCAAAGAAAACTCCTGCAAATTTCCCCAAGACTGTAAAAGAATTTAAACAACAATAAAACTGCATATACATGTAGAGCTGAACAGATTACTAGAGAGCAAAGTATCATCATGTTCTAGTTGCAGAAAGCAATGACCCTTTCAATATAAGCTTGAATTGCTCTGTGAGTTTCAATGTATGCACATGTAAGAGCCTCTCAACTAGTTAGCTTTATAAAGGGTTTACACTTCAGTACTAACGTCCTAGAGTAAGGCAGGACAGAAACAGTACTGTAACATCAGTGTTGCTTTTGGAACGTCATTTTAGTTAACATCTTCAGAAGCTCAACAGCTGCTGCTTGTGCTGTAGCAAACCATAGAACTACAGTCTCTAGGCGCTACCTTCAGGTCTGTGACACAGAGTAACTCCAGCTGAATGCGATTCCAGGGATTCTGTACAGTTTACTCTTTTTATCACCAACAGCTAAGTAGGTCATGGCTGGTAGCCAGCAGTCTGGTTAGGAGGCACAATAATATATAATGGCATTATAGATTTTATGCCAAAAATCAATAGGCTATATTTGTTCCAGATCCTGGAAATTCTTCCTGTCTAATTAGTAAACATCTTTAGGATCAACATCAGAGGAATTCTGCTTCTTCAGGAAAGAAATACAAAACGTTGTCTCATAGTGAATCACCCACACAAAATACAAAGAAAAGAAAGAAAAAGAAAAATACCTTGTTATATAGGGACAAAGCATTTTTCCCAGATTAGCAGGGCCTAAGCCTGTAGTGTAGTAAAATCCATCTGCTTTTCCTAAAGCAACAAAATCTACAACCTGCCAGTTCTGTAGGTCAATCACATCTTCTTCAAATTGTAACCATCTTCATTATAACCAAATCAAAACACATAAAACCTTTCCATCTTTCTCTATCGCAACACAAGAAATCACCAAACTCTCTTCCCCTCCAGAAATCCTTTTAATATTCTCCACCTGTAAAAGATGCCCTCCTACCTCCAGCTGGGATCCAGTTTGAATTAGCCATGTGAGAATCAGGTGTGTGAACTGCTAGGCTAAACTGTTACCACACACAGATGTGTGTTCACATTCACATTCTAGAAATTTCAGGATTTGTACAGCCTGTTACAAGCTTTCTTAGTGAAAAAGGTTGTGCTTATTCCCATACTTTCCCTGAGGAAAAAAAAATGTGTTTGATATCATACAGTACAGTGTAAATAAATATGGTTACTTATGGAAGACTTATAATTTGTTAGAGACTGCATCTAATTTTGCCTTGGATCCTGGACTCGTGTGTGGTTTCACAAACTTGAGTGGTCTCTCTCACAAAAACTATGTTGCTGTCTGTAGAATCTCCAGCAAATTCTCAGGAGCCATGGGCTGAGAAAAATTAGTTTTTACAAGCCTAGGATATCTAGCTGTTTTTAGTCATTGTTTGTATGGAAGTAGTGGTTTCAAAGGGAGAAAACAAGAGAAACACATTTCAAACTGGCTGGCAGTAGCAGTACTTACGATGTAGAAATGAGCTATGAAAATCTTGCTTGAGTACACAGTTAAACCTGTGTTGTTTGTAAGGTTGACAGGCTTTTCTGAAGGTAAATAATTGCTATTCCTACCAAGCATCAGGACCTGGTAGTATCACATCATAGTTGTATTCAGAGTTCTTCTGGAGGATCTGGTTTCAATAAGAAGGGAAAAAGCCACAGGCATACAAGTGTTGCCTTTACCTACGTTAGGAGACATTCCTCAAAAACTGTAGTTCTGTATTTCTAGCTGAATCTTTTCCATGGTTATAAATTGGCTATGCAATACTACTGACTCAAATTTTTAGGGGAATTTATGCAATTGTTGTTTTTCTTAAATTCTTGTCCACTAAAGGCAGATAAAGAGAGACTACCAGGTAAGCAGAGGTTTCTATCCTTCACAGTTTTGATAAATACTTCAAGCTGTGCTTCAGGCATTTATATCATGAACCCAAAGGAAAGCAAAGTCGGACTGCTTATAATACCAAGTAACATCCACTCAACTGGTGCCAGTAGTGCATTAAAAAAGACAGCAAGTTTCAGAGTAAATGTTTGTTGTCTTACTAGCATTTAGTTAAACTTTTGGATAGTGAGAATGAGCAAAGTACAGCATTTGTATCTGAAAATGATAGACATTTTAGAGGTCTTACACTGCACTAATTATTATATTTTAATTTGGACTTTGTTTGTTTGTTTATTTTTTCTAGGGCAAAACACTGGATTTTTTTTTTTAAGTCTGCAAGAGTAGTGTTATTAGTTAAGATGTCCTACTTAATCAATGGAGTTAAACATTGCAGTCCTGTGAATCAGATCCACAAAGTAACAGGAGCTCTGTTTAAAGCGCACCTATTAAGGAACACATGGGGCATCAAGGAGCAACAATTAAAAATCTCACGTGCATTGTCTCAGCTTAGTTCTGAAAAGGCAAACTCTTATAATTATGTCATTGTTGGAGCTGGATCAGCAGGGTGTGTGTTAGCCAACAGGCTGACTGAAGACCCTCACAGTACCGTACTGCTTTTGGAAGCAGGCCCTAAAGACACCCTTTTAGGTAGTAAAAGACTACTGTGGAAGATTCATATGCCTGCTGCATTAACTTATAACCTCTGTGATGAGAAATATAACTGGTATTATCACACAACTTCACAGAAGCATATGGATAACAGAATTATGTACTGGCCCCGAGGAAGAGTGTGGGGTGGTTCCTCTTCTCTCAATGCAATGGTATATATTCGTGGGCATGCAGAAGATTATAATCGATGGAGCAGAGAAGGGGCTATAGGATGGGACTATGATCATTGCTTGCCCTATTTTAAGAAAGCGCAGACACACGAGCTGGGATCAGATCGGTATCGAGGTGGAGAAGGACCTCTTTATGTGTCAAGGGGAAAAACAAACCATCCTCTTCATCAAGCATTCCTGGATGCAACCCAGCAAGCTGGGTATCCCTTCACAGATGATATGAATGGTTATCAACAAGAAGGATTTGGCTGGATGGACATGACTATACACCAAGGTAAATTATAAAGCTTCATTAAGAAATTTGTGTTTCTGAGCCACCAGAAGTACTGAAATAATTTTAGAATACAGACACAATCTGCACTGAATGCTTTTTGGTTGTTTGGATTGATGAATAGCTACCAAACTCTAAATTTCCACTACAAGTTTCACAGCAGCTTGCTGTCAGTCTAGAGTGTATTTCATTTAAAATGTTTTGGCATGCAGATCTTGAGTTAAAGGTAAATTTGGGATAAGAGGTTTTCATAACATCTTTGGGAAGTTAAAATAAAATATCTAGTTAGTATATATCCAATAGTATGCTTTGAACACTACAGAAGAATGCTTTTATTATATAAACATCCTGGTATTGGTATTGGTAAAAATCTTGAAGAGAACTTAGTACAACTATTTTGATTTTAAATTTAAGTTTATATTGCAGGTAAAAGATGGAGCACAGCTAGTGCTTACCTTCACCCAGCTATATCTCGCCCCAATTTATCAGTTACTGAGAAGACGCTTGTAACAAAGATCTTGTTTCAAGGAACAAAATCCATTGGTGTTGAGTATGTGAAAAATGGACAAAGGGAAAAGGTAAAAGATTTATATTTTCCAATATGAAAGATATTATTCATAGCAAAATTTAGAAATAAATAAATAAAACAAAGTAGGTATGTAATACAAGTGATGCTTTACTCTGTAAAATGTCAGCTTCCACTGTATGATTCTTTGTAAGTTGTTTACAGTAGGTGATACTTCAGTTGTATTTATTTAGAGATAAGAGTATTTTCAGAGCTGTTTTTCTGAAATAGCAGTGTTTCATCACACTCCAGTTTACAGAGATAATATAAGTGTAGGTTCCAGCTTGAAACATTACATGATGCTCTTGCATAATATCAAGTCACAGCTTGTCTGCTCATATTGAAAGCTTGATCATTCCTCCTTAAAGAAACTTGTAGCGAGATAGTAATGCATTTAGAATAAGAAAAATGTGAGGGATATGTGTCTAATCTCAGTCAGAATTGTATCTGAGTTGAAGCTCACTTGCATTCAGATCAAGCTTAATAACATTAGAACTTATCTGCTCATTTCATTTCAGGCTTTTGCCAGTAAAGAAGTTATTTTAAGTGGAGGTGCCATAAATTCTCCACAGCTACTTATGTTGTCTGGGATTGGCAATGCAGACGATTTAAAAGAACTGGGGATCCCTGTTGTGTGCCACCTTCCTGGTAATCTTACTATATCTTTCAATCTTGTATCTTCCTAAGGATTCAATTCCAAGTCTATTAAATTGAACAAATTCATTAATTTTGGTTGTCTTTATGTCAGGTAATATGGACTGAAATCAACAGCGTTACAAATCAGTGGAAACATACATTGATTTTGGAACTGAGCAGAGGCCCCCTACAGTTTCTCCACCGTTTGATAGTGGAAAATGCCTTTCTGAAAAATGCTACCAAGTGGCTTTAAACTAAAGCTGCATACTAATAATTTAGAATTTTGGACAAAGGGTTTTGATCCACAAGAGATTGTATCAATTGTCACTGTCGTATATATTAACATATGGAAAGAACAACATGAACTTCTTTAATATGGAAATATAATCCTAACATGAAAATCTAACATGAAAATCTAATACTCAGCAGTCAGATCTGGCAATTTTAGAACAAATGATATGTCTGCCATTCAACTACTATTGTTGTTCTAGTTATGCTATGTTTATTTAAAACCTGATTATGACATGAGCTGATGATATGACACGTAGTCTTGGTACTAGTTGTCATTACCCCTATAAGAGGTTGGGTTAGTTTCCATTTATGCTGTTTTCTGGTAGCAAATTTTGAATATAGTTGTTCTACTTGAAATAACTTTGCTTTCTTTTTCCTTTCTTCTCCTTCCTGCCCCCTTATAAATCTTTTAATCAGGAGTAGGCCGGAACCTTCAAGATCATTTAGAAGTGTACGTCCAGCACAAGTGCACAAAACCTATTACTCTATACAGTGCACAAAAGCCAGTTAACATGGTGAGGATTGGTCTAGAATGGCTTTGGAAGTATACAGGTATGAAACAAAGTATGCAATTCTACCACTGATTGCTTTAGAAATATTAAAGCTTTTTATCTGTGAATTTTGAAATCTGGGATCCTTCATATAAAATTATTTCATATCTTTTAAACTAACTGGAGTTTGCAAAGGGCCTGAAAGATTACTTTTTTTTTATAAATCAAAGTATTTTAAAGTAGTTATTAGTTATTATGTTTTAGATATCAAATGATGTTTTTATACAGTGTTATTTAATACACTTGGATCTCCTTTTAAGAAAATAAACTTTTAAATCTTGGTGGCACTGAGAAAAGCTTTGTTAAAAAATAGATGTTGCTTAGATAAAAATGTGCTGTGAACTGAACTATTTTTCCTAATTCTTGTCGCAAAAAATTTATTTTGTTGCTCCAGGCAGAATCCTTCAGAGTAACTTTTGTTAAAAATGGCACTCTCATTTCATAATAATCCAGCTTTATGTTATAATAACCCAGACTTTAAAAAGAATCTATCAATGTAATCCTTGAAATCATTAAAATAGTTTGGCCAAACTCAAAGCCTTCATCTCTTGCTGAATCATTATGTCAGTAACTGGCCCAAGGTGATGACTTATGCTGTGTATGTGTGGCATTTACCATGGAAGTAATGGGCATGGAGGGATGAATCATGGTTTTAAATGGATCTGAAAATAACATAATATGAGGGACATAGTAGTCTCTTCATCTTTCCCCTTCAGGGTAGGCACTGTGGATGTCTTTGCCTATTACATGTGACTGATGGGATAGCTATGCTGCTTCTCTTGAAGCATGCAGTGCAATGATATCAGGATGCTGCAGCTGGTTCCCTCCACATCTGGCAGAGTCCCAATACTGAATCTGCCTCTGTAGTTAAACTGTAGGCAGGGCTTCTGCCAGTTATCCTGTGGTAACTGCAACATCTCACTATCAAATAATTGGAATTTCCAAAGTTATAGAGAATTACATTTACCTAGTGAGTAAGAAGCGGGTGAAAGTGATACATACTGTTTCCACTGCAAGCTGTTCCTGAAATGTTTGTATTCTTTGCAATTTTCACTGTATATATGAATTGTGAGGGCTGCTCTGAAAGTAATGCCTCCTATTTTATGATGTTGGCCCATGATGTTAGAGGCAGATTGGTGGTATGGCAGTTGAACCTTCCCACAAATATTCTGTGACATTTTGTTGCTGTGTGACAGACGGAGGCAAAGGGGCAGTCTAACAAAATGAAAGAAAGCAAACACATGTAATCGAATTCCTCTATGTGGAAAAAATGACAGTGGCTTTCATGAATGCTTGCAGAATGTTTACGGAGACTGAACAGTGGATGTTAGCACAGTGAGGTGGTATGTGGTGCATTCAGTGGCAACAACAATGTGAAAGATAAGCCATGTTCTGGATGGCCATGCTCAGTTCCCACCACGAAATAAAGAGCAATTCAACCAGCTCATCTGGACTACAACCAGGGATGTGTGTACAGAGCTGAATATTGATTTCAAAGCATTGAAAACAGTGGTGGCAATACTGGAATGTCGTAAAGTTTGTGCTAGGTGGGGTTCCCATGAATGCTCACACAGGAAAAGAAAGACCGCATGCAATTTTGCCAGATCCCATTGAAACAATACATGGCTGAAAGTAAGTTTCCTGGATCACATCAGTACCAGTGTCAAGATGCTGGGTCACCACTATGAGGTGGAGTTCAAACAACAGTTCATGAAGTGGCAACAGGTTGCAGCTCTCAGTGGGTGTAGTTGTGTGCAGTGTATTTTGGATGATATTTATGGATTTCCTGGAACACAGAAAAACCATGTCTGACTGCTAGATTATGATGTTGGATAAGCTGAAGACTTGAACTTCCAGAGTCAGGTCAGAGAGGAAGACAATTTTCTCTTGCAACCCAGTGATGCCAAGCCCCACGCCAGTTTGATGACAGTGCAGCACTTAACCCATTTTGACTGGACTGTCCTACTACGCTATCCATATAACCCAGATTTGGCACCTTCTGGCTTCATTCAAGCTGCTGAAAGATGGGCCGCATGGACAACATTTTCCTAGCAATCGTACAATCATAGCAGTTGTGAAACAATGGGTCATCTCTGCTGGTACAGATTTTTACAAGCATGGCATGCAGGGTCTTGTTCATCATTGGTGAAAAAAGTATTGCTAATGGTGATGACTACATATTGGGAAGAAAAAAAAAAGTGTTTTGTATCTGAAAATTTGCTCAATCAAGTAGTGTTACTGCTCTCTTTGTATCCATTGTAGTTTCTTGTTGAAATAAATAGGAGACATTACTTTTGGAGCAACCAACATACTATCTATAGTAAAACAAGTTAAAAAGAAATGTGTTTCTTGCTTTTCTGAGGTCTTGTAATGGCATTTTATCGCTCATTTTCACTCCTTAGGTGAGGGAGCCACTGCCCACTTAGAATCTGGTGGGTTTATCCGAAGTCAGCCAGGAGTTCCTCACCCCGACATTCAGTTCCACTTTCTCCCTTCTCAGGTGATTGATCATGGTCGGGTTGCTTCCACGATGGAAGCTTACCAGGTGAGTTTTTAAAGAACCTACTGCAGTAATGTTCTATAGTCCCTATAGGAAGTAGATTGATCTTTTAGTGTGGTCATTGTGATTTGGCTTTACACCGTGAAATACCTTTTGCAGCATAAAGAACTGACTAAATCTCCTACATTGGGAAAAAAGTAAGTGATAATTATTTGATATTGCTACTAAAATTATGCTGCTTTGTTATCTCTGTAAATGTGCTCAATTGCACTATTGAAGTGCCATAGTACTGTTCATTAGGACACTTGTACTAGATGTACAAAACTAAACCAAGGTGTTCTCTGTTCCCCTGCAGTTTAGGCAGAGGTGTAAGCTAGAATATATGAAGCCACTCATTTATTTATTGGCACAAATCCAACCTTCTTTTTAAAATGTCATTCTGATCCGAAAGTCTGTGCTAATGGTAAGGAACTGTTCCTGAATATACATCATCTTCTTGCTGATCTCTTCAGTGGTTATAGTAATCTGATCTGATTGCATTGGAGTGCTGTGCTACTGCTAAAGTAATTGTACTTTAAATTGGAAATAAAAAGCTGTAAGTTGAAAAGACAGGTACATTCTCTCTTTCTTATGGAATATCATATTTAATTTGCAAAGTCTGTCTGAATTGAAAAAGAAATAGAATGTTCTAAATTTGGAAATGTGTCTGGTGGGATTTTGTCATGAGTATAGAATGGGTTTGCAGGTCCATGTAGGACCCATGAGGAGTGCAAGTGTTGGCTGGCTAAAGCTGAAGAGTGCAGATCCAAAGGACCATCCTATCATTGAGCCTAACTACATGTCGGAAGGTAAAAGCAGCTTCTTCACCCTCTGATGACAACTTATTTCCTGCCTGATACAGTAGCAGATTTTCACATCTACTTGAAATCAGTTCAGAAGTGAAGGTTAGTGCACTGTCAGATTTTATCAAAGAGGCCACTGTCCAAAATTCTTTGTACTGGCAGATAAGAATAATTTCTTGCTGGGAATGCAGTCAGAGACAGTGGGTATAGCAAAATAAAGAGCAACTTTTCATAGCTCACCTATTCCCTTGTGAAAGCATGCAATATATGTAGCTATTTTGCACACTGAGTATAAATCTATCAGATTTGTTCAAAATGTTCTACTTTGGCTTTCAGCAGTAAGTGAGAGACTTCCTCCCCTCCTCTCCTCTCCTCTCCTCTCCTCTCCTCTCCTCTCCTCTCCTCT